TGTGTGTGTCAATGTAGTGCTGAGAAGAGAACTAAAGGGCCATTTATAGCTGTCACACACTGACAACCATTACCCATGCATTTACAGTGCTCTCAGCACATACTGTCAGGAAGACTCTGCACACACACACACACACACACACACAAAGACACACTCCCCTCTCTACCTGACAGAGCCTAATTATCGACACCTCTCCCTGTCGGATGAAACAAAAAACTGCTCTATTTTCAGACTGATGGAGTCTGATGTCTCTCTGTCGTTTTCTTCTTTTTCTCCCCCTCTCAGCGTCTTTTGTCGTCTCTGCGCGCCGCCTCGCCCGCCGCCCACCCCCTTATCCGACGTTTGATTCTCGACTCGTTAAATAAGACTCAAATTAAAACAGACAATGAGGAAAGTTTCCCCCTCACAGCCACTTTCATTTGTTGTGATTGTTATTCAGAGTCATGGATGGCAGTGTGCCTGTGTGTGTTTGTGTTCAGAGTGAAAATGGCAGCAAGTGCCATCTTGTCTTTGAGGCCTGCTTCATTAGTTGTCAAACAGAACAGCCGTGCTCACCCCTGGCCCACTATCTATGTGTGAGTGTGTGTGTGTGTGTGTGTATGTGTGTGTGTGTAGCATGGGTGGGGTGGGGGTTTAGGATCAAGTGGTGCCTCTGTAGCTCTACAGAATTTGTTTTATGTGAGGTCAATTCAACTTATCCAAGCTCTGATTCATTATTTGTCCCTCCGGCCTGATGCAACAAACACCACAATAATGACATGTATTGTGTGTGTGTGTGTGTGTGTGTGCGTGTGTGTGTGTGTGTAAAATGACAATACATTTCAGGGACATTTCAGTTTTGAATGGAAGAGGAATGCACTAAATAAACTGATCTAACCAACCATATAGCCAGCAGACCCAAGCAGTAACATTCACCAGAGCTGTAGTGTATGTGTGTGTGTGTCAGTGTGTGTGAATTTATGTGGCTGTTGGCACTTTCTGGTGAGTGGATCACATTTCTGAACATTCCAGAGCCATGTAAACATTTATACACAAGCAAAAAAAAGC